CTGGATAAGTTTAACAGGGGCAGAGGACAAATGAACATGATGCAGGTAAAAAAAATGCAGATAGAACACTTGTTCTTTACTCCCACCTGGTAAAACATCGAGGTATTTTAATAATAGCTGAAACTGACAGATTTTCATGCGTCCTGTGACTCTTAATTCTAACATTAATTCCTGATTAGATTAAACACCATATCATGTTGATTTAACAGCGTTTTTTTCTTTTTTAGTTCCTTTTGTTGTCGATGAACGTCTGAGAACCAGATGGAAGCAGTCGGCGCTGGAGGAGGAGCTGGAAGCAGCGACACATCTCTCTATTTGACTTTTTCCTTCTTCAAATGCTTAACCTGTCATTTAATGACTAAATGTGCACCAACGTGTGTAAGTGGTTCAACAATGAATTTTGCTGCTTTTTCTTTACTCGTTACCTGAATGCAAGGAAATTGTGATTATAAACATCTCCTTCCATTGTGCTAAAAGTTAAAGGCTGTCATATCTTTAAATCTTTCTATGTTCTTGCTTATATTTTAATGCCTTCTTTTGTCATTGTTTTTGTTTCAGAAATCATTTATATGGAGAGAAATTTCTCCTGATATTATTTAAAGCAAAGAACAGGTTTTTCAAAAAGGAATTTTGGGGAAGATTAGTTTAAAAAAATGAATGTTTTACAGATTTCCCCCTCTACCCTTCTGGGTGGAACAGAACAGTCTGGTTCTGCTGGAGGTTTTTTACTGTTAAAAGGGAGTTTTCCCTCTCCACTCTCACTACAAGCATGCTTAGAGTGAGGGATTGCATTGGAGTCAATCGATGCAATCAACTGATTTTCCTTAGATAGAAAACTTTAAATCAATCTGACTGGATGATCTTGTTTAATCGTTTCTATAAAGCGTGTTGAGATTACATGTTGTGAATCGGTGCTATATTAATAAACTGAATTGAATTGAACAGCATTGGTCTCATTATAATGAGATACTATCCCATTATAATGAAATAATTTATCTTAACAGAGTGGCGGAGACAGGCTTCTATAGGTTCTATTACCTATATCTATTATAAACAGATTTCACCCAAGCTGTGAGCCCTGTGGTTTTCCATTAAACTGTAAAACTAATGTGTAAAATCACTAAAGTTTTAGACCTCTTCTGTACATTATTATTTCTTATCTAATTCACTGAAAAGCAGCAGATAATGGATTTTGTTTTAATTATGTTTTAATCCACCAGATTACATGTGACAAACAGCTGAGGATTATGCCAGGACAACCTTGATTTATGATCCCAACCATTGTTGCATTCAGAACAATGGATTTATGGTGGTTAGCAAGTAAAATGAGAGTGTGTTCACTGGAAATGAAACAAAGAACTCACCAGCAATATGTTCTCCAAGCTTTGGACCAATCAAAATAATACAACATGCTCTGTGTTGGAGTCTGAAGGTTTATAGGAAACGTTGAGTTTCACTACATGGTTCCTATTCTGAGATATTTTTTCTTTACCTGAGTTCATTGTCTATAACATCTGGGTGAGTTTTACCATAGATGTAGAGGTTGTTTCTACCAATCCAACTATGGTATTCTCTGCATGTAAACATAGCTGACAATTATTATTTCTCCATGGATATCTGCTAATTCAATTCAATTTATATTTTTTCTATAGCGTCAATTCACAACAGATGTCATCTCAAGGAACTTTACAGAGACTGTTCAACCAGATCATACTGTCAGATTGGTACAAAAAAAAGTTTGTACAAATCTGTACAAAATTTTAAAGACATGGACTTAAACTTTGATCTAGGAAGTCTAACGTTACCAGGGTTGTTCCTTCCTAGTCTGAGGTTGATATCAAATGGATCTGGATGCTTTAGTTCTAAACAGTTTCCACCTTTTAGGACATAATGTGAATTATTGTTGCTGAATAGAAGGTTAGTCGATTCAGCATGACTTTGGTTCTGGTTCCATCATCATAGCAGATCACCATCCCAGCTGCTCCATTCTCTACGGTTTAATTTAAATATCATTTGATTATTATTGTATTTTATTATGTTTTATTTCCTTCAATTCTAACATCTGCAGTTTAACTTTAATATCTTTACTTCTAAATCTAATTAGACCAGTAGTTAATCTAGTTGTCCAACAGATGGTAATCTCTGACCTTGTTTAACTTCATCATCCAACCTTCAAACCCAATAAAATTCCCTTTGCTACTTTCACTTTTATTTAGAAACAGGTTTGTTGGAACAAACAAGCAGAAAATTGACAGAGTGAAGCTGATGAAATGGCCGCTTCAGCTGATATTTCCACCTCAGGTCAGAAATCTTTTTATCAAACTTTCCCTAAAACTTTATCCTGCTTTGGTTATAATCTGGTAAACTCTTATTTTAGTTGTTAAATAGTTTGAATTCAGAGACTTTGACTTTGACAGAACATGAAGGTGAAACAAAATGGCTCCCTCTGCTTTTCTAGATTTTCTTATGATATTATGATTTTCATTTGTGGAAACATTCTTGGTCATAAATTTTTATTGTACTAATAAAATGTGTACTTAAATTATACATCCTGTTCTTTGACTGGCTAATTAAAGTAGATGTTTATAAACTGTGTAATAAAATAAAGCCTTCCCTCTCTAAACAGAATTGAGGATTGTGTTGATAGGAGGAAGATACGATGACCTTTCCAGTGGTAAAAGCTCAGCTGGAAACATCATCCTGGGTCACAATGTTTTTGACACCAGCAGAAGAACAGCTCAGAGTGAAGCGAGGCAGCAGGAAGTACTCGGCAGACGACTCACAGTGATTGATACTCCAGGATGGTGGTGGACTTTTTCAAGAGAAGAAACCCTAAAACTGGATCAGATAGAAATCCAGAATAGTGTCCATCTGTGTCCCCCAGGACCTCATGTCTTTCTTCTGGTCATTCCTCTTGGTTCACATTTATCTCAACTTATTAAACTATCTCTAGAGGAACACCTGGAACTTTTCAAAGCAGATGTTTTCAGTCACACCATCGTGCTGTTCACTGCAGTCCATCCATGTAGTGATGAAACCATTAAATCTAAAATCAGAAGAAGTCCAGACCTGCAGTGGATCCTTCAACAATGTGGAAACAGAAAACATGTTCTCAACATCAGCAACAGAGAAGATAGAGATCAAGTCAAGATGCTTCTAGAGAAAATTGAGGCGATGATTGAACAGAACAGGGGCAGACACTGTTCTGTTGATGAATCTGATGGAAATGCTCTGAGAGAGAGACTGAAAGATTTGGTTAAAAAAGCCTCAAAAAGGTTTGATGAAGTTCAGAAACAAAGAAGAAACCTGAAGCTACAGATTGAAGGTAATTCTACTTTCTTTCTATCAGGATAAAGAGATAAATGTTTCTGCAGACGTCTCTGGGAGCTCGACATACAAAACACATTATTTAATTAGAACGTTAGGAAAATGTTTTTATGTTGTTGGTAATAAAAAAAGGATTCACATAGTTCATTTATTTTCTCATACTAAACCCAATAAACTAACAGATGTTTTTTTCTTTGAAAAATTTTTATATATTTTTTCACTCCACATTATCAACTCTACTCTAAACAAACCTGAGTTGCAAACTTTAAAAAATAAATTATTGATTTTTTTTTTTATGATTTAGGTGGAAAAGTTCCTCCAAACCATTTGAGAATATTGATGATTGGTGATTCATGGGCTGCAAAGAGCTCAGCAGGAAACATCATTCTAGGAAAAAATGAATTTGGTGTTAATGAAAGTGTTAGAAGAAAAACAACAGTCAGTGAAATCAGCCACAGTGTGGTTGAAGGAAGGCGGCTCACAGTGGTGGATTCTCCTGGATGGTTCTTCATCCACACCCTTCAGGACACCAGTGAGATGGACAAACTGGAAATAGAGAACAGTGTGAATCTCTGTCCTCCAGGACCACATGCTGTGCTGCTGGTTATTCCTCTGATGGTCAACATGGATCCATCATATTTGAGATCTGTCCAGGATCACATGAGTCTGTTTAGAGAAGAAATCTGGAAACACACACTGGTTCTGTTTACCTTTGGTGACTGGTTAGGAGTGAAGACTGTGGAGGAGTATATAGAGAGTGATGAAGGTCTGCAGTGGATAGTGAACAAGTGTGGGAACAGGTATCATGTTCTGAACAACAAGGACCACAGTGATAAGACTCAGGTAAAGGAGCTCATTGAGAAGATTGAAGAGATGTGGGCAGGAAATGAAGATCCTCATTATGAAGTGGACCTGGACCGAGCAGCACAGATAGAAGCCAAGATGGAGGCTGCAGACAAGAAAGCCAGAAGGTTGAAGAAGATCAACGAGACACAGTCAAGAGTCCTGAAAGAGGTTTATGAAGGTAAACAAGTTTTATAAAAGTTTATGATATAATCCTGTAACATTAATGTTTCAGGATTAGAAACTATTTGGTTTTTCTGTTTGTTTTCCAGCTGAGAGAGATCCAGTCACTGACATCAGGATTGTTCTGGTTGGACAGAAATGTTCAGGAAAGAGTTCAGCAGGAAATCTGATCCTTTTCAAGAGGAAATTTAACAGAACCTTTGATAAAGCTTGGTTGGAAAAGGTGAACCATCATGATGATTAAGAAAAAAAAAACATTTAATAGATTCTAACATCCAGACTGGATGTTTACCTGAGTTCATCACGTCCAGAAATATTCTTCTTTATTTTTCAGAGCTATGAAGATCAGAGAACATCTGCAACATGTGAGAAACATGAAGGAGACTTTGATGGAGTAAAAGTCTCAGTGGTTGAAACACCAGGCTGGTTCTCAGACCCAACACCACCTGACTGGATCAAAGATGAAGTTCTCCACAGTGTCTCCATGTTTTCTCCTGGACCTCATGTTTTTCTCCTGGTCGTTCCAATCTTCAGAGCTTTCACTGAGAAAGATCTCAAAGCTCTGGTTGAGGTCCGGATGCCATTAACAGAGAGAGTGTGGAGACACTGCATGGTGCTGTTTACCTGGGGAGACTGGCTCAATGGCCTCCCTGTAGAGAACTACATCGTCAGAGAGGGCAAGGAGCTCCAGGAGCTTCTGGAGAAGTGTGGGAACAGATACCATGTTCTCAGCAGCTTTAATTATAATGATCCTGTTCAAGTCAAAGAGCTTTTCCAAAAAATTATCAACATGGTAAAACAGAACAAAGGATGCTTCACAACTGAAGGAAGAAAACCTCAGCAAGGAAAACAACGTATCCTGACAGAAGAGGAGTGGAGAAGACGGGAGCAGGAGCTGATGGAGAGAATGAGGAAAGCTTTAGCAAAGAAACCAGAGAAACCAACAGTGCCCTCTGTGGAGTTGGCAGAGAGCAAGGATGACTTTTACATTCCAGGCAGTAAGTTTAAAATGATGAAAAATTACTCACTGAGTTTCTACAAACTCTTGGCTCCATCTATATTGTTTTTCTTCTGTTTCAGTGAGCGGAGATATTTCCTCAGAAAATGGGAGCATTTCAGAGATTAGGAACCAACGAGGTCATAACAACGTTGCTGAATGGCTGACTAAGAGAGTGAGACCATCTGAGATCAGCTCTGGGATTGGCAGCATTTGTTCCTCAGTCAGTTATATGGAGAAACATGATGAAGATCTTCAATAGATTAAAATCATCCAAAGATGAGTTCATTCTCACAGAGAATAAAGATCCTCTGAACATTTTCTACAATCCTTCAACTAAACACAGGAACTCTTGTTCAACCAAAAAGCTACAGCAGAAAAATGATGGAAGCTAAAGAAGAACAAAAGATGGAATATGCAAATATACCAGCTTGATGCTACATCAGACCATGTTGGTCTAAACACTGTAGATCACATGTTTAAAGTCCTGGTTTTGTGATGAAGGCTGCTGCCCCCTGTAGATGCTGATGCCTCAGAGTTTATTCCCAGTTCTTTCTCCTGGTGTTTAATTATTTAATGTCCATCTCTGTGTTGTATTCCTGCCTGTTTGCTTTTATTTCCATGACTATGGACATATGTCTCCTTTATCAAACCTGATCTAGAGTAACTACATTATCATTTATATCTCTAAAGACTGGTCCACAGATAATAATGCTGTACAGTAAAACTAATAGCACAACTATCACATTTTAATCACAAGAAGTTTGGTGCATTGGTTGATCTGTTTGTCCCTCAGCATCTCCCTTATCCACATTATTCATAATATTTTGAAACACTACAAATATAAACATTAAATGATCATCATCGCCTAATGCCATCCCTTTAATTCACATTCATTGTTCCCAGATAATTTTTCATGGACAGATTACATTTTAAACACAGTAGTGATATTAAGTCCTTAAATTATTATCTAATGACATGAATTAAAGTTATATTTAGCTGCTTTTAATGATATTTGGGTCTGGCTGATTTATACAGTGGTAAAAAAAAAAGGTGTAAGAAGAATTAGAATTTTTTTTCTCCTTTAATAAAAATCTTAATAGGAAAACTGTTCTGTGTGATTAAGAGTGACACACATGAAAAAAAAAAGAAAACCAGGAAAGGGGCAAATACTTTTCATACCACTTCACCTCTCTTTGCTACACCCAAAATATGTGTGTCTGTCTGTCTGCCAGCTGGTCGGTCGTGGGGCCAACAAGTATTTAATAAGCCAATGTTTGTGCAAGTTCTCCTTCTTAAAATAATGAGAGAGATCTGTAATTTTCATCATAGGTACACTTCAAATGTGAAAGACAAGATGAGAAATAAAAATCACGTTGTAGGATTTTTAAAGAATTTATTTGTAAATTATGGTGGTAAATAATTATTTGTTCACCCACAAACCAGCAGGATTTCTGGCTCTCACAGACCAGTAGCTTCTCTCCTCCAATCGTTTCCTGTATTATTGGCACCTGTTTGAACCCATTACCTGTATAATAGACACCTGTCCACAGTCTCATACAGTCACACTCCAAACTAAACCAAGATTGAGACCAAAGAGCTGTTTTCTCTGGTGGAGGGATTAAATTAAAGAATAAACTCAATTCACCCTTTAACCAGTTAAATTATTCTCCCTAAGCTGTAGATCTAGAACTAAAGTTGAAGAGAAACTATCTAGGTTTCCGCTATAATATCTAAACTAGCTCTGTAATGGATTAGAAGTTGTTTTTGTGGCTCTCAGATGAGGGAATGCTCTGTGCGCATGCACAGCTGCTTGGTTATCAGTTAAAGCCAGGAACCTGGAGCTCCAGTGGTGGAGATCTGCAAACTGGTGGAGGCTGGTTATGCGTCTCTGCGCGCTCAGATGGACGCGGAGCTCCAGAGGAGCCAGAAGGAGAGCGAAGCCCTGCGGCAGAGGCTGCGAGACA